TGCCTCCACCTCCTACCATCCAGGCCTGCCACCTCCAGCTCCTGCAGCCTTGGCTTCCCCCTTGGCGCAGCATTTAAAAACCCCTTCATTTCTCCATTAGTTTCTCCGCCAGACTACTAGTCACCTCGATCCCTCCATGCACATTTACTATGAAACCTCTAAAGAAATAATATCCTAAAGGTTTGTCTTCCTGCTCCTCTTACTCCCTGATTTTTTAATCTATACTATCATTTTACAGACCTTATCATACATAATTTAGTAGAGTATTAGAACATTGGCCTCAAACTTACAACAAAAGTTACCCTGTTAAAAGGTCACTTGCTTTTATTTATGCATGATGTATTACATAAGTATATCCACTTTTGCTGGAAAATGGATGAGTGGTTATTTGCTGAGGCTTTCCTACTTTGCTGATTATGAATGTGTATAAGGAGAGCATGTTCTACGAGTAGAACTTAATTTATTTATGAATTAGTTGACTAATAAAATGAACTTGCAAGGGAAGTGCATCACTTCTGGAAAAGTGTCAGATTTTAGAGGGCATATTAGAATTATACTGGCCATTTGTTGAAGACATTTGTTTTAAATTGCTGCCTGGGTTACCACTAGACAAATTACGAAAAACGTGCCTGTTCTTTGGAAGAAATATTCCACTCTATGCATCTCTAAAATGGGAAATTAGTCTCAAGTTGGACTAACTCTGCCTCTCCTCTCTAGACCATAACATCCAAGATATCAATACTACTTATCTTTAATATGAAAGCAAGCAAAAGACAAATTTTGGCTTGCAAAGGAGTGGGGGTTCTTCTAAATTATCCTGCTGAGCTGGAAAAGCAGTTGCTGAGATGCCATGGTGTGCAGGGCACGACTAGGCATGAGGATGACTCTAGCCAGGTAAATGCCAAAGTTGGAGATCATGTACCAAGGACTGAGAAGAGCATCCCAAGGCAGTATTTGATCCTGATGCCAAATGCTATATTCTCTCTCGGCACTTTTCACCCCGGAAGAATCTCTTTCAGCATTGCTACGCACCTTAGTTCACACTTTAAGCCCCTCCACAGTATCTTTGATATTGAAGACAAAGGAAGAACATTTAAGGAATGAGAAACTAGCCCACACCCACCATCAAAAATGGTAATTTTATAAAGTTTTCAAAAACTTTGGCCATGAGTTGAAAAATAGATCCCATAAAGGCAATGATCTTGGGAGACCAAATTGTATCTGGACGCTTTCATCCTATCCTTCATTTTTCATAACTATATAAGAGACAGAAAAAGTAAGTGCATGTCTTTGTACGACAGGTAATTGTCTATGGCCAAGTAAGCTATACCTCAAAAAACACCAGATTGGCAACCCTCAGCTATTCCAAACCTTTTTATGTTTGAAGCCATTCTCCAGGTGCCCAAAAGCTAGCTATAATTTTAAACCTCGAGCTCTGCTTTATCCATTTCAGAGGTTCTAAAAGCTTTTCACATGTAAAAAACTGCAGCAGTTTGGCTCACTGCAGAACATACAGGCTACAAGTATGGGCAAATCATGACGAACTGTAATGAAAGTGTCTAAGTATGCAAAGCTTTTAGCTTCTGGAGAGTGATATTTTTAGATTAAGGTCTGAGGAATTGTTCTAGAATACAGGGCTAGACAGTCAGGGTAACAGAAGGGGAAAATGTCAATGAGAGAGGCTACAAATAACTTATGGAGTTGTGAATGCCCAAATGTGATTCTTTCCAAGCAGGCAAATTTGCAATCTGCATCTGTTCGAGGGTTTTCACTGAAGATGGGAAAAATCATCTCTCTATACACATGATACAACCCAGTGCATAAAAAAGGCACAGAGTTTTCAGCTAAATTAAAGCAAGTGTAAAAATTGATGAAACATCGTTGAGAGCTTTCAGCTTTCTGTCAGCTCTGAGAGATAAAAAATAAAAATTTGAGAGCAACAATTAATGCTCAACTCCTCCCTGTAGGACAGGATTACTTACTATAAGAAGTTGTAATTTCCCTCTTTCCAAAATGTTCTCCAGCAAGAAAACAGCCCTTGCAAGCTTTGCCTGGACTCTCCTTACCTGCCTTCACCCCTGTGTTTCCTTCAAGGTCTAAGAAACCTTTTAATTAAAACTACATCGTGCAATGCAGTGACAAGTCTACAGCCTGATTTCTAATTTTGCTGAAGCCTTCAGGAGGGCAGCTACACATTTCTGCATAGCGTTTATGGCCCTTTTGCTTTTCAGGGAACAACTCCAAGCACCATTAGGTCGGCTCTGTCGAGGTGCATGAAGACATCCTGTGCAGCAGCACCCTTCCAAGGCCATGGCAAATGCAGAGTCGGCCGGGTGAGCAAGAGCTTTGGAAATGGATACTTTGTGAGGAAACACCCTCCTTCTGAAGATGCATCTTCCCTCAGAAGCCAGTTCCAGGTTTGAAAGCCAGGGTTCCTTTATCCAGTATATGAAAAATGCAGGGGCACGAGGCTGTGCTGTGCAGTTGTAGTTAGCAAAGCCTGCGCAGAGCACGAGGTAACTCAACTCCTGCGCTCGGTCTCCAAACGCAGTGTCTGTTACTCCCGTGCTCTGCATTTGAGAGGGCTTTGCTGTTCCTGAATTGAACTCCTCCAGCACGACACAGGAGCGCGAGCTGCTTAATGGACTGTTAGCAAACAGCAATTTTCAAAGCTGTCTTTGAAATGTATTAGTCAGCATGCAAAAACCAAGGCAAGTCTGATTTTATTATTTACTGGTTTTCAGTCAATAGTAAAGCAGGATAAGGAGGCTAAGTGGTTCACTGAGAGAGAAACACATTAAATGTCCCTTTGGGACACCGATACCATGTGGCTTATATAGGAGATACAGGCCCCCAGGCAACCCCACTTTTGTGGCTGTGACACCTCTCCATCAAACCCACCTGTCCTGGTTTTTGGCCCAACAAAAGCAGATGGTGTTCTGCACCCAAAAAGGTAACATTTCAAATCAAAACACCCAAACCCTGGGCCTGCCTGCCCAGTTTATTCATGCTTTGAGGACCCATAAACATCCCGTTCAGCTCAGGAGCAAGAAGTCTTCATGCCAGCCCAAGCTCAGGAGCGTTGATGCCCTCCCTGGTGCCTAGGGAACACATACATTTGCAGTCCCTTCTAGCGGGTGGTTTTCAGGGAAAGCCTTTCTCCAGAAGTACTAAATGCAAGTGTAAAGTGCTAGTTCAGGTAGGGATCTGCTCTTCTCGCCCAATTCTTTGCTTCTCCCAAGAGCTGCAGTTGAGCTTTCCAGCCAGGAGCACACGGGAACTCACAAAAACCACCGCCACCCTGACAGAGCTAGACAGGAGGGTTATAAATGCAGCACAGCCCTAAATCTGTCTTCCCTCACCATGAATGTGACACCACGTACGAGCCTGTGATGGGTCTCCAGCCCCAGGGACAGGCTCTGCAGGAGTGGTATAAAGCTCTCTATTCCCCTTCTGTCTAGAGAGAGAAGCTGGGCATATGTATTAATCCATCTGTATTCATGGGAGAGGTTTATAAGCCATCTAGATCACGCTAGTCTATAGCTAGAGATACATCTCAGACAGCAAAAGCAACAAGCAAACCTCCAGAAAGTTGCTGCAGCAGCGCATCATTTGAGTCGGGCCCTTTGATGCCAGGCAGAGGTGTTGCTAGTGCATCCATGAAGGGGAATATTCTTCCTGGAAAGACAGCACCTTTGGCGGCAGAGAGCTTCTGCAAAACTGATTTGCACCTTGGTATTTTACACACAAGGTGAGGTCAGTAAACCCTCCTCTCACGTGCCAGCAACGGCCACACACGGCTCTTCAGGAGGCAGGAGCAAAACCGGGAAGGACGGCTCCCTGCGGAGGCAGGGTGGGAGGGCACCCTAGAGCAACCCCCACGTGGCCACCGGGCTGCAAAAACCCTCGTGTGGAGGCCAAAGAGGAGCCACTAGAACCGCAGTCAGGAAGGAAAAACCCCCTTGTTTCGTAAGGCTGATTCTTGAAATCGTTTAAATCTGTCAAGTGGCACGAAAGCAGCCAAGACGAGCCCAGCAGATGCACGGGCTCAATTTTAGTGCAAAAGCAGAAAAACTCGCAAAGCAAAAAAACCTTCACTGGGATCTGACTCTACAGATGGCTACTGAGGTTAAAGTCAGCTGGTTCCTCAAAGGGTATTTAAGCGCACACGGAGAATTTTTGAGGTTTACTCCCAACACCACTTTTTTTGCACAGTAACTGTACAAGTTTGTTCACTGGCATCTAGCCTAAACACGCACAAAAACCACAATGAGAAAACTAGGGCAATAGGATAATGCTACCAAGATGAATTTGTACAAACATGGCATGAACTTAAGTTTCTCTTCATAAATGCAGTGTGTGTTGCAAAACAATTAACTTTAATGGCTGACTAATGGATTTTAATTAAGACAGGTCAGTCTCATTTATGTTAATCTTCCTAGAGATTAGCTTTATACTTCGGAGTAAATTCAGTTTGATGACCTTTTGTTTCTTTATTTGAAAAAGATGGCAAGGATTGATTTGGGTTGTTATTGGATTTTTTTCGTTTGTACATTAGTTTGTTCAACACGTACACAAGCAGATGTTCGTTCTAGAAAGCTTCACACTCAAGTCCTGCTCATATGCACTGTTATTTACTGAGGGAAAAAAACGAATAATAAAAAACCAGTCCAAACTTCAAGCAACAGGTCAGATTACACAGCAGCAAACTGATGCCAGCCTCCCTCTCTCCATCGTTTTTCCATCTCCAATTAACAAAGCAAACAGAGGTAAGAGCATAAGAACACTCTCATGCTACACAACCTCTAAGATCACATGAGCTGCACACCAGCAGCTGCTGCTTTTTAATAATCCTGCAATTTTAACTATTCCAAAAGGTGTCAAAACACAAATTTGTTGCAAAGTTTGCTGCTTGTTTCAACACAGTTGAAAAATGTGTTTTGCCTAGTTGTGCTTTCATTTAACAAGTGCTAATTTCATTTTAATTTGTCCCATCTTACCTCAATCAATTTATTGGCATGTTCACGGAAAACCTGGGCATATTCTTTAACTTCTTTTTCATTCCCATTCTTGGCAGCTTCAATCAATACTAAAAGGGGAACATTTGTCTCCAGAAAAGAATCTGATACGTGGTCCATAACAGCTTTGCGGAGCTAAAATATAAATACAAAAAGGAGTTATTTTTCACCAGTCGTCCAACATTACTTCCCTTTCACTGTATTAACATGCAAACCTAAAACCTCTCTGTTGCTGATCCTTTTTGCTTTATGCGACCAAGGCTTTCCCCTACTAAGTCTTGTCTATACAGTTCTTGCTTCAATTTAAATTAAATCTCCTTAAAAAATGGATTAGTTACGTGAGTGCAAGTCACCAGTTTGGCCACAAATATTGATTTAGCAGCTCATATTGGTTTTGTCTGAGTAAATTTGCTGCATTCTCTCAGCTGATTAAATAACATGCTGATTTAACTTGTTTTATTTTTCTGCTAGAATAAAACCAGTTTTGAACAAACTTGATCCCACGTTTACTTGCAAAGGGGAATCTGTTGCTTAAAAAATCAAGAAAGTTGATGTTACATAAAGATTGTATCCTATGGATCTTACATTTTTTTAAAAAGAGCTCTCTGAAATTAAGACCAGCAGAATTATAAAACACAACCGATTACATTCAAATGGCATCAAATGTATCCCCCTCCCCTTCATAAGGGTAAGGGAGGGTTTATACTTCCACCCCACGTGAACCAGGCACTGGAAGCTTCGAGCATTCAATTCACTACATAGAAGCAGGCGAGACCACTGCCAACTGGAAACAAAGCAATGGTGAACGGATTTCCAAGGGGGAATAGGTGCACAAATGCATTCACTTGCCTTGACGAGGATTAACTTTAAGCATTAACTACCTGTCTGCGCAAGTCTCTGGTCTTCTTGGTCATTTTATCAATCGCAGAGTTCAGGGCATCACTCCTTTCTTTGCGTCCAGCCTGGAAAACAAGAGACAGAGAGGAGTAAACAGTGTGTTCAGGGTCTCAAAGGAAAATCGATGTTATCTATTTCAAATATGTTTTCAGCTTTTTTATTGCCTCCTGCTTGTTTTTAAATCAGTTATGCAAGTTAGAAAGAAACTCTCCGTGTCCCTAATGCAGCACTGGTATTACCAGCAGCTTTGGACAGCAGGGTGTTATTTTACAAGGGATGATTTCCCTTGTTAGCTTCTTCTCAACAAAAATGATGGTTTCACGAGTCAGCCAGAGACCAGATTTCTCTTCTCCAAGAGAAGAGAAAGAGAAGAGATCTACCAATGATTACATGGTTCACACCCGGGCTCAAGTCCAGAATGGCTCCCCGACCCCATGCAGAAGACCTGAGGCTTCTGCAGTCTCCTCTGTGGAGAGCACCCAACGTCTGAGGTTTGCACCCCACGTGCTACCTCCACGACCATCACCAAGAATTGCTCTTGAGCAGCCGCGCGTCTAAACCAAAAATCAACTATATTAAAAGGCAAAATCCTTACAAAAGGACTAGTTGGGGAGGAAACCCACCATCTGCTTGATGCAGCAAGGCTTCCATGAACAATGTTGCTGAAGAAAAAGGGGGTCCAGGAAGCAGGAAT